GAGTAAGACTTTAGAGGATCAGGGGCACAAGCCCGCTTACTGGACCTCTTACGTGACGAGCTGGCAAAATACCCCTAGTTGGTTGTGCCAAAAAAAAACCCCAAAGAAGAAGAAGAAGAAGAAATAATAATTTAATAATTTACTTACTATATCTGGCACACACTTGATTAATACCCTTGAATTCCTGATATGTTAAAAGTGTGAAACTGCGGCAGTGTCCGAGTGAACCGGTTTGGTGTTTGTTATTTTAAGGAGCTCGAAAATGATCGCCGAAACAGCCGTAGTACGTGATTTGCCTCAGCAAGACTTGTTAAATGAGCTGAAAGCGTTTATAAGCGGCACCCGAAAGTTCAGTCGTCAGAACTCCCTGGAACTAACGAAAACTGCTTTGGTTCTTCTAAAAAAGTTGCCAGCATGTAGGGGAGCAGTATTTGAGTACTTCTGTAAGGTATTTGATGCCGCTGCGTCTAACTACATCGAATCTATTGAGGTACGTCTTAAACCATCCAAATATTCGCTGTTTAAAGCCGTCGTTTGAATGTTTAGACGGAAATTAAAACTGGAAAATTGCCCGAGCCTATTGAAACCGATGAGCTGATAGTATCAGAAATTCATGCAGCACTGATCTATCTTATTTCCGAGAATTCGATTGCATGGGCGCCCACGATAAGCACTTGGTCGCTGGAGCTATTGGGCGAAATATCTACCAAATATGCAGGAAGAGCCCACATTTCCACAAGTAACACTTATTGACTGTAATGCCAGGCGCTTTTTAATGGAATTTTAATTATTGCAGATCTAAACGAAACCCTGCAATTATGGATGGCTTGTCGGGGTACGCGAACACTTGTGGACATTAACACCAAGTGCTTATCTAGTCTAATTCATTCTGATACAGAAGCCTGCATTAGTGCCTTATTAGGTAAGCAGGGCAATTGTTCACGACGACTTAGTCGGTTTATACAAAGGGCTGTTTCAGACACTTCTGTAAAACACTCGCCATACTTTGACTGGGTGGTGGCTCATGTGGGAAGCTGTTTTCCAAACACAGTCATTACCAGAGTTTTGTCAGTGGGACTGAAGGATTTTTCCCAAAATAGATCATGTGATCAAGTGCGAAGTTCACCAAAATTGAAATCGGTGGTCGGAATTCTGGGACATTTAGCTGGGAGCCATACTAAAGACATCAGACAAGCCATCATTGAAACCTTTAGGGTATGCGTAAGGATCAAAAGTAACCCAACGGAGTTTCAAATTCGGTTTTCTATTTCAGTTGAGTCTGAAGGAAGTTTTCACCGACTCAGATGCAATTCGTTTGCAAAAAAAGGCAACCGTTCCATACATTTTGCAGCTGATGTACTTATCCAATACACTATTGTCTTCCATATGCCATGATACGAGAAATATTTGTAAGTTCTCAGATGTGATTTTGTTAAATTTGAATTGTAATTCTGACGGCAGTAGGAATTATGAATGTTGTTGGAATTGGGTTTAAATGATGCAATATCAAATATCCGAATTACCAACGTTTCGTGATTTATTTCGCTATTATTTTGGTTGCGGGCCATTGAATGTCCGTAACAAAGAAACATTTTAATCAAACTATTTAGTATTTTAAATTAAAACAAAAAACGAGAAAACCGACTAGATACAAGTTACTAGAACCAAATAAACTGCTCAGCAAACTAAACGTTACACAGCCAAATTTGTCGTAACTTTGGAACTGGATAAATTCTGATTGCTTTAATCGATTTGGTTTCGTTTTGAAGCGTTATCTAAAACCGTTTGTGTTCTGTTAGTCCTTGTTGTGGTAAAAAATATGCACCTCAGTTAAAGTTTCTATAGGGAGGCAAATAAAAAAATGCAAAATTGCGAAAACATCGACACGCTCCTAGATGGACGCAAAATAGTTTTTTTGTGATCTCAACGCCAAAAGTTTAAAGGTAAATCAGTTTGTGATTTTTTCAACCGTCTCTTCTATTTAAAAGGTGCTCTCATCAATCTCTATGGTCTCATCAATTATCTCAATCAACTTTATGGTCTTGCAGCGATAACTTTTTGCTCTTGATCCGATTGTGAAGGTCTTCTTCTTCGGATTGTGAAGGCTCATGTTGAAGCTTAAAATTCATAGAAAATTTGAAATAAAAATTTAATATATATGGTTACATTAAAAATTACTCAAATTAGACACCCGCTGTATCGATTTTTTTTTCAATTCGACAATGCAGTTTGAGCTTCAATATGTTGTTTCTATATATTTCTTTAGTTCTTCCTTACCACAAATAAAATGATAGGAAATCTTATCACTAATTTTTTTACCTACGATGCCAAACATCCCAAAAGCCGCAAGCGATCGGAAAAACCGAATTTCTAATTTTTACCCCTTGCATCTCGGAAACCAATCGTGTGTGAATATATTCTATGAAGTTTTTCACTTATTTTTCTCAGTTCCATCACCTCTTTGATTCCCTCGATTCCACATTGAGTCATCCTCTATGTACTTAAACACCAACAATCAACATCAACGAATGTATTACTAGTTAAATGCGATAAAACCGACAAATATGTTATTTTCATAGATTATTTTTTGCCTTTTAGTAACTGTAGATATAATTGGAAAATTGAGACACTTTACAGACGATTGGATCAAATACTTCGGCACGCCCGAAGCTTTAGAGGTAAAGAACTCGGCTCGAGCCACTAAACTAAGCATCTAATTGGTTGTGATTTTGAATTTTAGGAACACATTATTTCTTTAATCCTCCAATGCCAAACTGGCGGAATCCAAATCCTGAATTTAATTCTAAGCTGCGCGCAAATAACCAAATTAAAAGGCTGCAACGAATCAGCCAAAACGGATATTCGAGAGAAAGCCTTGGAACTGTTAGGTGAGTGTGCCAGTTCTGTTCAGACTAAGAACATGAATTCTCACAAGATTTGTTTATATAGAGAATATTCTGCAAGAAATTGAGGAATCAGTTAGACATGGAACTGCTGTCGATATGTTGTCATCATGTGCGAAAAACATTTCAGAAATCAACGAAATGTTGCTCAGCTCCAATAAAATTGTTCAAGCTGTTGGATACAGATTGATTCTATATTTAGGTTGGTTTCCACTACCTATTAATCCTTTTACTAGAAAACTTATTTGTTAAATAATTGCAATCAAAACAACTAAGTAAAACATAGTGATGTTTATCGAAGGCAACAATTTCAGGTTGTATTAGGTTGGTTTCCACTACCTATTAATCCTTTTACTAGAAAACTTATTTGTTAAATAATTGCAATCAAAACAACTAAGTAAAACATAGTGATGTTTATCGAAGGCAACAATTTCAGGTCGTATTAATCCTGCCGTCTTAGTGAGAGCAATTACATTTCTAATGGAATATGCAAAGACTCCAGATCAATTAGGTTTCGTATTAAAAATCATCACCAGTGAGCTAGTCGACAAAACCGTTCCTGCTTATTCAGAGAAAGGCGGTCATTTCTCTGTTGTTCTCGAACAAATATTGAGTCGAAACATCCAAAAGTACACACAATCGAACGAAGAAACTTTAGACCTGTCCCAGATGTGGACCAACTTGTTGACGCTGCTGGAATGGGAAAAAAGCGATAAAATATCTCTGTTGAATTGTCGCTTTGTGTCGAGAGCTTTGGAGGAAAACTTTATTAACTTGACCTCAGTGTTTTCCAGCGAAGTTCACCATGTGCATATTATAGCTGATATATTAGACAAAACTGGAATTCCTATGGTTTCCAGCTCTTATAGCCCCCCAATAAGGGTTATACTAAACTTAACTCAGTCAGCAGTAAATTACTTCTTTGCATGCTGCAGGGCTGAAGGTATGTGGATACTATTGTCTATTCATTTAAAATTATTATGATTTTATTAACTTTCAGGCACGTCGACGAAATTGAGAGGCTGCCAAAGAGCCGGTAGTATCCTAAAACGGCTATGCATTTACTCGAAAGTTGCCAAAGTGTTGGCGCTCCGAGAATTGCTGGAAAAAGCTCTGTTTTGCAGCGAAAAAGTCCTGTTTGGGGCTAAAAATAGCACCGTTCATGATAGCAGTGAAAAAATGTTATTGAAACAGAATAAAAACATTGTAAGGCAGCAAAGAAAACAATTTGTAGATTGACTAAATTTGAATTGTTTCAGAGCAAAACAATACCGCTAACTAAACATTCCACGGTGTTCAATGGAGGAATCATCGGATTGGGCAAACGGAAGGCTTTTGTAGCAGACGTAATCCCTACTGACGTGATAGCAGCGAATATTGCTGAACTAATTTGTGTCTTAAAGTCTTGTTGTACTTTAATGGAGGAAGAGAAATATTCGGAAATGTCCCTGGATAGTATGACACTACTTTCACTGCTTTTAGTACAATTTGTTAGCCCCGATGTCATGTACAACGGCTTGCCGTGGCCAGAGGAAGAATTTTCTAAGGTATTTGAACGTCGTCGGCCTCTTTTATCAAAGTTTTCATATATTTTTTCATTGCAGGTCACAATCGAACGTGATTTATTTATCAGGCGAAAATTTACAAACACGCCGCTTCTATGGGACTTATTGAGCTTTGTGGCCGTTTCTCGTCCGGCTCTTTGCTATTGTTCGGTGCTGATACGAGCATTAACAGCTACCCTGATTCATCAGTGGAAAAGCATGGGAGACCACAGCAAGGAGACTGGAAACGAAAATTACACAGTTTTACTTGACACTACTATTAAAGTTATCGATGTTATGGCTTTGGGACAGTTATTGCCGCCCCCTTTGTCAAACATTCGGGATGTTTTGCCTTCATTGCGATGTTTTGAGGTAAGAATTTGGTTTCCTAAACATTCTAATGCCAAAGTAATACTAGTTAAGTCTTCGTTCTACATATACGTGCATACAGAAATGGCACAATGCGCTGATGATGCGGGTATTTATCATGGGGGCATCCAGCTTTTAAGTCAGGGCAGTTTATGTACTAGAAATTCAGTCTTTTGATGTCTATGAAATTAGAAAAATAATCGTTAGTTGACATAAACCCAGCACAAGGGGTAGGGCTTATGATCCCCCTGGTAGATCCGCCATAAGCCCTCCCCCTGGATCCGCCGTTGGTATTTACATATCGTCTTTTTATCTCGCATTTCATTTCACCTGAATTTATTGACGCCGTATTTCGACAAAGTGAATCCCAGGAGGACTGAAGTTATTGTCTTTTCGCGTAAATTTATCAACAATAAAATCGTAGCGCCACTCATGGTCCAAAATACTCGAATCGAACCAGTAAAAGAGGTGAAATACCTGGGATTCAAGCTAGACGCCCGTCTTCATTTCAATAAGCATGTTGAGCATGCTGTAGCAAAGACTTTCATTGCCTAAAAAAAGTTGCACTCTCTTCTTGCGCTAAATTCATTTCTATCATCTCAGAACAAACTTCTGCTCTACACCTAAACAGAGATATTTTTTGTTTTTAATAAAACGGGGAATTGGAAAAGTATTTGTCATAATTAAAAAATACGATCAATTTTGGCAGCGTCCAGGTACGCACGCTACTGGCAAAATTTAGCAGACATATTTTACTGCGAAAACATGCGTCTTCTCTAGCTATTGATCCCTGGAAAATTTAGTTAAAATATCTCCATGCGTATTAAAGAAATCCATCATTTTGTATTTTTTAAATTAAATTTCAATACCCTGTAAATCCATAGCAAAGCATTTTTGAGCTATCATTTATATAGGAAACAAAAGTTATTTTCGGACGTAGAATACGTGGTTGAAATGAATGAAACGCCTTGTCTATGTGATTCAGAAAATTCTAAATTCAACGAGAACATATTTTAATCCATCATTGATATGATTTTATTCTTTTAGTAAATGCTCTTGAGGGATTTTCCACGTAAAAATTAATACATTTACAGTTTCCTCTAATTGAATTATTTTTTGAAAAGAAATTCTAGAAATAAATATAATTCGCTGGTTTTTAACAAATTCAAGGTAATGAATTGCAGACTTCTTCTGAGTTCGTTAATGTTATTTCAGGGGCTATTTGAAACAGACACTTGAACTTATGTCCCTATTTTACGAGTAATTACAGCTATTTGATAAACTTTTGGTAACTTTTATTTGTCTGGACTTCTCTCTGACACGTTTATGCCTCTGGCAAAAGTGGCAATTTGAACGCGCGTTCAGAAAAGCCATTGTTAGTTAACTGCCCAAAAACGCCAGAAATCTTAGGGAAAAGTTGCTATTGATAATTGTGCGCATTTCTTGCATGCAGATAAATTATAACTGTTTTTATTGTCTCTGTTCAGATAGTGGATATCTTGCGAGATTGTGTATGGTGTTATATGCGAGATCACATTCCTTCTCCGGCCCTCTTCATTTGCGATTCAAATGGAGTCTATTGGCGTGATCCCATTATGTCCCGACCGCCTGAACGCTACACCAATACATTGAGAATAATTATGCAACGGAATATGGATACTTTAGGACATTTATATTCTCAAATGTACATCAATATTCCACACTATGAGTGAAATTGACAGGTAATTCACAGATATTATTCTTGAATTCATGAATATATTCACATACATACGAGATATTGGATTTTGCGAATCCGTTTGTTTCGTGGCATATTTTTAAACGTTTCCTTCGTAAGTGCAAACCAAAAGTTTTTCCGATTTTTATTAAAAATTTAAACATAATTTAACAGCAAAAATGCAAACAATTAAGTTTCAAAGTAAAGACCATTTGAAGCTATAGCTGGAAGTGTGGCATGGGGCGGAAGAGATGATAGTCGGAAGACACAAGGTTTGGACTATACGCTGAACAAGGAAGAAGTTAAATCGCCTCGAGATTTAATTTTTTTCCTGAGTTTTGCGTTGTTTTGTTGCACGAGTACGCGCTTTCGATTGATCAAAGCGAGGTATTTTCTCTGCGCCAAGTGCCGCATACATTCGCTCAAGTTGGGCGCAGTAGAGGTATGCGTCGATAGTCCGACCATTTGAATCAGCTCAAAATGAATTACGCCTCGGAATTCCACGTTTGAACCAATTTTGCGCAGTACGATCCGAAACCAGATTGTCGCCATCAATTTCTCATATATTCTTTTTTCCTGCAGTTGCGTTGAAGGCTTGTTTCCAGTAATAGCGTAAAAGGACACGAATTTTAGATTTTTTCATGGTTCTTATTGAAGTAAAAAAAAGGAATATACGGCCAATTGAAAATTTTAATATATATTATGATAGAGCAGTTCAAAAGCTTTAAAAATATATATAACATCTTTATTTGGTAAAAACAATTCGAGAAAAAGACGGAGAAAATCGGAAAAACTTTTGGTTTATCTCAATATAATGTCTGCTCCAGCTCCAGCCCCAGCAAACGTTTTATAGTGGCGACATTAAATTGTTAATAATTGTATTATATTTTTTCAATACTGTCCACATGATACGTTCTAAATTATCCAACTATTTGCAAAATTTTCTTTAGTTTAGTTATTCCTAAACTTGTCACAGTTAACAATGTCTTATTATTCAATGTGGTTACTTTCTTGGAAAATTTTCATATATAATTACATGCACAGCCTGCGTTTGGTTTGCCCCTTTTTATCACTTAGTCAATAATCATGCAAATTTACTTCAAGCATTTTAAATGCCTTGTCTCTCAAGAACTTCCAGTTGTAGCCGAACATTTGGGACACTTCCTTTTCCACCAACTCGTATGAGCTGCTGTTAAATTTCAACCAACTGTAGAATTCCTCGGACCATTCCGGACTTTTGGGCCAGTCGCATTTTTGCACTACAGCGTTCCCTCGTACGTGCAGCCACTTTAAATTTCGCCCACTATATGCCAGAAGCAGAACAGTCGATGTGGAGATTTTTTCGGTGATTACCTAAAATAAGTACGTCTTTAAGGGCTATAAATTTGAATTCGTTGTTGTCCGTACCAGAGTTGATAAGAACTTGCAAGACCTGACAAGCATGAGGAAGTTTTCGTCGTTCCGCTCGCAGAACTGTTTGGGCATGTGGAATCTTGGGATGTTCAAGTGGCCGTATGTTCTTAATTCTTGTTTAAAGTAATCAATGGTGTTCATGAGAACGTCGACTTTCGCCTAAACATTCCAATGTCTTCTGATTATGTGATTAGAATAGTGAAAGAAACGTAACTTACACCAATATGCGGAGAATCATACAATATACTCCTGACCGGCGCTCCTTCCTGCCAAACCACAGTTTTGAATTTATTGCTCTCAACCTCCAAATGAACCCCCAATCCTTTATTCATTGATCTGACTTTCTTCCAGCTGGCTGACATGATCGGTTTCACAAATCCCTCATCAGTAGTGTATCTGTTTTGAACAATGTGCAAGTGTTTCAAGTGGGTGAAGCCCAGAAGCTCAACCAAGTCGTCTCCCAAGTTTTGAGGGCTAATATGTAATTCCTGCAATTTAAACTTCGCATCCTCTTGAACATAGTTCGGCGTTTTTTTACTTACGAAAAGATTCAGAAACACTCCAACATGCAATACTTGATAAGGGGTTTTGGTTACGTTGATCAAACTGAGCTTTCTTAACGTTAAACAACAGGTCTGACACACTTCGTCCAACAAAAACTGCGCCTCACAAGGCTCCAACATCAAATCGATCAATTCTAGGGTTTGCAGTTTCGGGAAATTTCCCATCAATCGTTTTAGGCCAGCCAATAATTTTCCACCAGTCCCAAAAAGCCTCACACTTTCGATGTCATCTCTGGTGGTCATGTTGCACGGAAATGTGAATTTTAAGTACAGAATATTGCTGCCCACTCCCATTTTCATGGGGTCATTTTCCACGTGCTGCTCAATGAACCAGGACATGATGTTCATGAATTCGTACAAATTCGAAAAATTCAACATCGGTTTTATGATTAGTTTTTTAATGTTCTTTCCGATGGTTTGCAGACAAAGGGATGTTCTAAGATGATCCAAAACATACTAAAATATCAAAGGTTTTCATTGACAACTTATCTTTTAAAATCAAAGGAATTGAACTGAGTCTATAGCTTTTTAAAATTTTTACTACTGCTTAACGGAATTTGTTTCATTAACTGGTGAGAATTCACATTGTGGTCCTTTCCATACTCTGTGTGATGTGATGTGAATTTAATTTAATTCCACCAGTTTACATCCCTGAATTCTTGATTTTATTTAATTTGTGCCTACTTTTTTGCAAATTGGGATTATGTAAGGTGTTCCTTTTTGCAGTGCTCAATAAGCATACTAATTAACTAGTCTCTCACAACATAAGAAGCAAAAAAAGTTTCACGAAAATGAAGCAAAATAATGTTTGTTTATCTTTGACTGGTAAAGCTACTTTGGTAACGACAAATATCCAAACCAGCTGGGTCCTGAATCGGAAATTTCTACAAAATGGTCAACAGTAAAAAACAGAAATCGAACATAAAAGCAAAGCATGAGTCGTTCGAAAAGCGAACAAATAATTTCTGTAGCTCGGTGCGTTTTGCAGAGTTGAACATTTAGCTCAGTCTATTATGGACAACGGACGAAATCGGTCGTCGGTTCTTTGTTCCTAAACGGGATAAAAGTACCAATTTATTGCCATTTAGACACGAATGTGTTCAAGTGTAGTGTATGCTTTTTGGAGGATGGGGCGCCAGCTTGCAGAAAGCTGGTAAGAAGGATTAGGGATGATACAATACTGACAAAGTATCGATATATCGATATCGATAGTTACTCAAGTGAGCAGTATTCTGAAAGTATCGAAACCATTACCTACTCACAATTTTATTGTGTGACTACGTGTCATCGTCATAAACACATTATTTTTATACATTTTCGATTAGTTATTCAAGACCGAAATTCACAATCGCAATGAATTTTAACTGTGAAAAAGCCATTTGAAGAAGGGATTGTAATAAAAATGGCAAGCTATTTCTATTGTGCGTCATGGTAGCACCAGCTTTAGAAAAAGCAATTCTTGTTATCTAAAAGACACCCATATGGCTGTGGAAATTTGGAATTCCTATTGGGACAATCAATGTCGATATCTTTAAAACAATATAACTTTATCTAGCATTTTTTAAAGACATTTCCAAGATCATGTGAGATAAAACGGTTTTGCAAACTTTTTCAATTAAGAACATCACTATACTTATTGTATTGTTTAAGCGATTGCAACTGCTAAAATAAGCTTATCTGTAAACCGGCATGATTGTCCGTATCTATACTTATTTATGGATATTTGCCGTTATTTCCCGACACTTGAGAGCGCTTCTCTAAAAATAACTGTTTCAATTGATGATAACGCGTCAGTGAAACATTGATCGTTATTGCCAGTCCTTGTTTGTTTGTTTGTTAGCAATGTCTTCCACGCCCGCCTCAGTAAACTTAAAAAAACTCTCGTCAAAGTGCAAAAGTGGTTTAGAAAGTTTTCAAGTATATATGAAACAGCGTCTTCAGCAATTTCTACAAAAAAAGAGCAAAAACTGTCTGATACTGGAGTGTTCAGATACGCGACCAGTTAGTGTTTTAGTACTGGCAGCGGTGGAGGAAAACGGCGTTACTAATATTTTCCTAGACTGGCAGACAATAAGCAAACTGATTATGGATAGACAATTGCAGTTTCCCTGCCCTGATCAATTGATTGTATGTGAAATAACCGATGTGGCTCAGTTCACAAAGGAAGAACGAATTTTGATGAAATTAATTGCAATGTTAGTCGAAGAAGAATCCCAGAAGTTTATCTTTGTTGCTTCCCAATGCGGCGTATTGAATAAATGCAAGCAAAAAGTGAACATCATAGAGTCATTCCCAGTCAGTGCTGATATAGGAAAACGCAAAGTGTTATCCAAAACTGCTAAATCGGTGCCCAAAATAAATGCCTTAGTATATAAATTGGCCGTATCAGGGCAAACCGAAACACTGTCTCTGTACTTGCAACAAGGGTTCAATATTAACCAAGCTGTTGGTCCGGATGAGAAAAGACTAATACATGCAGCAGCAGAGTTCGGCCATTCAAGCACCGTAGAGATTTTATCTGCATATAACGCAGACTTGGAAAAACGGGATAGTAAAAAGGAATGTCCATTGCACTTTGCTGCCCGAAAGGGCGAATTGAATGTGATTGAATTTCTCCTGAGTAAAGACGTGAACGTTAACCGCAAAGGAAAACTAAACCGAACGGCCCTTCATTGGGCAGCAGAACGGGGACACCATGAGGTAGTGAAGTTGTTACTGCAGAAGGGAGCAAACAAAGAAAGCAAGGATGGGAACAAACTAACGCCGTTGGATATAGCGGCCAGAAACGGACGTTTGCTCGCTGCTCGAGCTCTATTAGACAGCGGCGCTGCTGTAAATCCCAAACGCAAAAATCAAACGCCAGCTTTGCATTGGGCCGCCCAAAACGGCCACCTTGATGTAGTAAGGACTTTATTGAATTATGGGGCCATGGTAGATGCCGCCGACAACCAAGGAAATACCGCTCTTTATTGGGCCTCCCATCACGGACACTCTAATACGGTTGGGGAGTTAATACAGAATAGAGCTGGCGTTGCATGCAAAAATAAATTAGGCAATTTGCCAATACATGAAGCTGCTTCTAAAGGACACTATGACGTTGTTGAACTTTTTTTGAGGACTAGAGGATTATGGCAACAAGACTCCGAAAGCGGTAATATTTATTCGTGGCTGGAAGGTGTACCTATAGATATTAAAGGTGAGGAGAGTAAAACTATTTTGCACATGGCAGCGGAAAACGATCATGAGCGTTTGGTGAGGTTGCTAATATCTAAGGGTGCATTCAAGAATTCTAAAGACTCCGGTGAAAGCACTCCGTTACATTTGGCTACCAAAAAGGGCCACGAGGCAACTACACTGGTTCTACTTAACGCGGGCGTCGATATTCATTGTAAAGACTCAACAGGTAAAACTGCATTTCACTTCAGTTCAAAAAATGGCCAAATTGCTGTAATGGAGAAACTGCTGGAACTATCAGCGGACATTGAAGCGGCAGATTCGCAAGGTTGGACCGCTCTTCATTTTGCATCTTATAGTGGCCGTAAAATAGCCGTTGCAGCGTTAGTGAAGCACGGAGCAAATATCAATGCAACTACTAATGAAAATTACATCCCTCTTCACCTGGCGGTACTTGAGGGTCGCATGAATGTGATAAAAACTTTAGTTGGGAATGGGGCTAACATTAACCTTAAGAACAAATTTGATCAAACTCCTTTGGATATGGCAGAATCGAGAAATGACCAACACATCATTAACTTTCTCAATGCTAATAATACCCAACCGTTGCCATATACAGGCTGATTGCCAGAATTATCTTAACTTTATTTTTCACTCGACTGAATTGGAACTGTGCGGTTGGACTTACCTGACTTTATAGTTATATAGAAAGACATTAAATGAAATTTGCGATTATAGCAGCTTTCTTCTTTCAATTGGGAATATTTCGGGTGTTTTTTAATGTGGCCGATAATTCACAGCGCGATTTCTCAGGTACCTTTAAGATAAACGTTTATATAGGCATAGGTCGGCAAAGCCTTACTTATCGAACTACAGGATGACAAAAGATCAATTTTTGTTCCTCTTGAATAATTTTTGAAATAATGTCGGTATTTGGGCGAAACTTGGTATTTAAGAGGTTTGGAACGTGAGTAACTTAAATTTGATCTTGCTTCGGCTCTTGCATGTAGAAAGGTAAGTGCTTTCCGTGGTAACATACGGATGCGAAACACTAACGCTCACTAAAAACAACATAAATAAGCTGAGGATATCAGAGGAAAATGGACTGATCAATATTGGGAATTAATTAATTCTGTAAGCTTAAGCTTACAGACCACATAAAGAAACCGAAAATTCGAAGAATAATGGGGACAGAAGACATCATAGAGAAAATAGCAAAGCTAAAATGGAGATTTGCAGACCATATGTAGCACTGGGCCTGGGTAACACTCTGTTGAGTTGTTGCCGGTTTCTGAATTAATGAGTTATAACTCATAAATCACATCACTATAATGAATTTTAACATCTAAAAAAAGGTCACCAACATTTTTATGACTCACTTGGGACACTGAGGTCACTCATTTTTTGTAAGTCACGTTTTCCCAGTAACAGAAACAGAAGTGATTTACTACGCCGGTGCGTTGAGTTGGCGCACCAACCAAGTTAATTATTCCGTCGCTTTCAATGATGCGAGTAGAAAAGAGCATCCAGAAATCCTGATCGGGCTTGAATTTGAATTTGCTCTTTAGGAGATAAACGTTGTACAACATATCGGACTACACGAATTCAAAGTTTCTTAAGAATGGTGCAAAAGTCTGATCTGAGGGCTCGTGCGAAAATCAAGTTAATTATCCGTCGCTCTTAATAGTGCAATAAAATGAAGCATTCACAAATCATATTCCTCAATGCTTTACTTTGATTTTGGTGGCTCTGCTAATAATTGTTGCAGCCTCTCACAACAGATGAAGCTAAAAACATTTTCATGTTTTTATTAGTATATTAGAGTATTTAATTTAGCATTCAAAAGTCGCCCCATGAACGGCGATGTTTGTTTATCTTTACCCGAGAAAGCAACTTTGTTTACGCTAAATATCCAATCCAGTTCGATTGCGGAACAGAAAATCGTCAACAAGACAAAACCGAAATCGAACAGCATAGCAATACAATGAGTCACCCAAAGGGCCAGCAAGCAAACTATTACATCATTATGTGAATTCTGTAGCTCGGTACGTTTTTTATATGATAAACACCTTAATTTCGCATGAGTTTTATCGGAAAGCTGAACATTTAGTTCAGTTTATCATGGGCAACGGACGAAATCGGTCGTCGGTTCTTTGTTCATAAACGAGATAAATGGACCGCTTTGGTGCCATTTAGGCAAATGCTGGTCATCTTGCCTGTTAACTGTTGAATGTAATCCACATTTATTTTCAACTTTGTGTGGATACTCATTGTGGGTTCAAGTGTAGTGTATGCTTTTGGGGGGATGGGGCGCCAGCTTTCTGTAAGCTGGTAAGAAGGATTACTAATCTATAAACCCTTGTCTTGCTTGAACTGAGCATGGTTTTTCGAGAACCAACTGAAGTTTTATTGAGTTATTTATTTCGCTTTTTTTCCAATCAAATAACTGGGTTTTAGACTGGTTTTTATTTATGTAATTATACAGAATGTTTTATCATTCTTTCAAGTGGCACGATGCATCATTAGGTAAGTTTACCATTACTTTGTCACATCATTTAAAGGTTGCGCTGTTTAACGGAATTTGTTTAGTCAATTTTGTGGCAATTACATTGCTTTTTATCCACTTGTATGGTTTTGCAATTAAGAACCAGTTCATCCGATACTGAAGTGCAATATTGACAACATAGAATAGATTTAGGATACAAATCAGTTATTATTTAAAAAAAATCATTTGCAAGTTTGATTTTAGTGAAAAAATATGTGCTTTACAGCTGAAACATTTGGTAACCAGTACTTTTGCGAAACATTCATGCAGTTTATTTATTAAATTAAATTGCACATGTAGGAATCGAGTGGAGTTGGATCTGGAGATTAAGGTGGCCACTTTCCTCTCTTATTACTAATGTCCTGCATATTATTTTTCTATTCCTGTTTGATTTTGTAATATTTTGGAGATATGTATGGGATATAAGCAATAGCACAAATTTTGGCAACTTAAGAAACTTATTAAGTTTGTATAACAAGAAAGTCTCACTTTGGTAACTTTTTATCCCGGTTTTCCAACATTTTAAAAGCGTTTTTCGTTTCGCGTTTGTAAACGAGTTTTTAAAGAAATCAGCGAGAGTAAAACTTTGAACATCGGGTACACTTTCAAGCACAAGTATAGCGTTCTAACTTTTCAACCAATTTCAAACAATTAATTATTATTTCAAACTTTCTAAAAGTTAGAAACTTCTGATTAAAGCTAATAAGTGAAAGACGGATTTTGGACGCTCTTGCAAAAACAGTCTATTAGCCAGTAAAATATTTTCAAAAGCTTTCCACATATAAGTTGTACAAGCGTCGGCACTCTTGCACACTTTCATATTTTTGCTTCTAAGAAAATTTACTTCTCAAAAGTTATTAGTTGTGCGCAAAATGGCTGCAGCCTGAACCTAATCTATGAACCACTTGCCACTTACTTGCCAACCTAAATAGTAGTTAAATTTGCTTCTGGTCAAAGTGTGGTCTTCCAGAATGAATTGCCTCCACACATAAGGCAGGTAAAATGTGCGATGCCAGTTTCTGCAGACGCAACTCGCATAGTAGCGCTCTTTGATCGTCAGATATGAAAAAACTTTCTCCAGTAGCAAGTCCGGCAACTCGTTCCATCTGGAGTAATTTTTCTCACATTTTTCCTTTGGTTGATCTATGTCTATAAACATCGCTACGAGAAAGTTTTCCAATAAGTAAAAATGTATGCCGGAACCGAAGCGAAAACCTTACCACTACCACAAGTGTGTGTCTAGTTACACATTTTGGAAATTCTTAAACTGCATTAACTAAAGCCGCAAATATGTAGCGATCCCGTGGAACATGTTTTGAATAGCTTGGTCGTAGCAACTGATCGTTGCTTTGGCTTTCGGCAAATTCATACCAAGCGAGATCGTTAGAACAAGGATTTCTGTCTCTTTTAGTCATTAGAACTGCTAAAAGACAAACAACGCATATTTAAATGATTCCAAAAATGTGTAAGTTACATCACATGTTAAGTGGTGGTGGGTATTTTCGACAGGGAATGTGGCAAAATTGGCTTTACCTTCATCATTTTCATCCACAACCCAACCGCCTGAATCCATGATAATAAATGGGAAATTATGCGCGCCTTAGAGTTGTTTTCGTTGAACTAGAACAATTTTCTACGCGGGTTGATGTTGTTGAGTTAAATAACCGGCTTTTTCTGTTTAGCACTACTTTTAGATTTGCAGCTAATTATAGTTGCCCATGCCTATGCAGGTTGGCTTTCCCACCTTTTTACCAGTTGCTCCATTCTATTTAAAAATCATATAAACACATTGTGTTCAAGAAGAGAACTGTTATGAGGAGATATCAACAACTTAAAACTATGCAATTTTGATTAAATGGGGAATATAATGCACATTGCAGATATTTTTAAAATATTTGTCTTCGTTAGCCATAAACGCTTACCTGCGTAAAGCTTTATTTTAATAAAAAGTTACGGGTTCAGACTTGACCATAATTATTTGCCGCTAACAAGGTAATCAGTTTTTGTGTGATGTGAATGAATTCTATACAACTTAAAAACTCAAGTTTCTTCTCTAGGGTACGCAAGATTCAACTTAGATATTTTTAAGTAAGAACTGAGTTGTTAAACCATCCATTTCTAGACCCCCGTTTATAGAGCGCTCAAAAATCAGATTATCGTTCAATTTGAACGAAATCTTTACAGTTTAGAGAGCAAAGTGTCTTCTATAGGGTGTGCAAGATTCAACTTGCCACCTTCTCTGGAACATAAGGTGAACATTTTTAGACAAGAGCGAGCCGTCTAGTTAAATCGTCCATTTCTAGACTTATGTTTATACAGCTCGCAAAAATCAAGCGTTAGTGCGATTTGAATGAAATCTTCACAGTTTACAGAGTCAAGTGTTTTCTATAGGATGTGCAAGATATAACGTGGCACCCCTATGCAGCGGAAGTTAGGATTTTTTTAATAAGACCAGGCATCTGCGTTAAACCATCAATTTCTATACTCCCGTTTATAGAGCGCAAAATAATGTTTTTTTAGATTTGAATGAAATCTTTCCCGTTTACACAGCCAAGTGTTTTCTACGGGGTATACAATATTCAAATTTCCCCTTCTCTTGAACAGAAGTTGGACATTTTCAGATCCGAGCGTACAGAGTAGTTAAAGCTTCCATTTCTAGACTTGCGTTTATAGAGCGCGCAAAAATCAGGATTCTGTACGATTCGAATAAAACTTTCACAATGTAAAAAATCAAGTGTCTTATGGGGTGTGTAAGATTTACCTGTCACCTTCTCTGAAACCGAAGTTGGGAATTTTTAAATAAGAGTGGGCATTCGAGTTAAAGCATCCATCTCTAGGCAGCCTTGCATAGAGCGCGCAAAAATCAGGTTTTAGTGCGATTTGAATGAAATTTTCAGTTTACAGAGCCAAGTGTTTTCTATAGGGTGTGCAAGATATAACGTGTGACCTTCTCTGCACCGGAAGTTAAGAATTTTTTAATAAGACCAGGCATTTCAGTTAAACTATCTATTTCTATACTCCCGTTTATAGAGCGCAAAATAATGCTTTTTTGCGATTTGAATGAAATCTTCACCGTTTACACAGCCAAGTGTTTTCTACAGGGCGTGCAATATTCAAATTTCCCCCTTCTCTAGAACGGAAGTTGGGAATTTTCAGATCCGAGCGTACAGAGTAGTTAAAGCTTCCATTTAAATAAAACTTTCACAATGTAAAGAATCAAGTGTATTATGGGGTGTGTAAGATTTAACTGCCACCTTCTCTGGAACGGAAGTTGGGAATTTTTAAATAACAGCGGGCATTTGAGTTAAAACCATCCATTTCTAGGCCCCCTTGCATAGAGCGTGCAAAAATCAGGTTTAAGTGCGATTTGAATGAAATCTTCACAGTTTAGAGAGCCAAGTGCTTTCTATAGATAGCGGTTAGATTATTTTTCAGTCGAAGTTTAGCTACTGTACTAATTAAAACGGTTCTATTGAACAATATTCTTTTAATAATATGCTGTAAATGTATAAAACTAAAATGCAATGTAGTTTCGATAAGTAGTGTTCAAATTGTTTCTATTTTGAAAACTTAAAACTACAATAAAAGTTTTTGATTGCCAAAAAAACCTCAAGTCGTTTTTCCTTAAGTTAAGCTTAACTTAAATCACAATGTCCTATACTACTTCCTACAAAAGAATGTTATTTTATACTCGGTAGATTCGCTTTACAAATGCATGCAGATTCTTGAGTATCATTTCGGCAGCAGCTCTTATTTTTTTCTTCGTTCTCCTTTAATAGCCTCTTAACTTTGCTGGATTTTCCAATGCCTAAACGCGGCAGGCCCTTGTTTAGGCCCTCTAATAGAATGCATGCCTTGCATACCTCCTGGGACGAGACGTAGTTGCACTGTGTACATCTGGTAAGTGATGGCGTCTTCGCGGTTTCATTAACTTTTATGGTTTCGCCTGAAAGACAAAAATCGATTCCTCAAAATATTTTTTTAAAATCAATGAATGCACCTGACTGAATGATGTTCATTATAACTGTTGGGTCAATTTTCTCCAAGTCCTTTAGCAGCACCCTTGCATGACCCCTGTAGGCATTGGGGGCAAACACGCACTCCGTGGAAAAGTAGACCAGCTTTCGAAAGTACGCGTACATAACGATTTCCTTTTCAAAAGTGTACTTCAATGGTTTCACTCTGGGGATGCCATCGCCGCAGTCCTAAGCCGATTTTAATGAATCCAAAAACGCGAATTATTCAATTTATTCTTACTGTTATTATTGAGGTGCATCTGTTCAGCCTTGCCAGGTCCCCTCGAAGTATATTCATCAATACAGTCTCAGCTATGTCATCGGCATTGTGGCCAGTGGCTAAATAATCCACTTTCAACAAATTAGCCCCCCTGTCCAAGGCCTGCCTTCTGAAAACTCCACAGAAGGTGCAGTTATTTTTTCTACCGATCTAAAATCAATTAAAGTAGAAAAACAGCAACTTCACTCGCAGTCAATCAAATACTTCAGCCACAATTTCATCCATAGTCCATCCGTACAGGTCTTTATAGGACATAATTTTCAACGGCATGCCATAATCTTCCTGATTTTGCTTTACCGTATTCAAACTATCATCTCTATAGCCGGTAATGCCTTCATCTATAGAAAGCAACACTAGCTTTAGTTGGTAGTTGTATTTTTCATTGAGCAGTTTCAGTACATATGCCAGCACTGTAGAGTCTTTTCCTCCAGATGCGCCTATTGCCACAGTGGACCCAGGCCGGAACAGTTTGGCCCTTTCAATGGTAAAGTGAATTTCGTTTTCAAAGGCCTCAAAGAAACAGGTCTTGCACAGGGCGTCCCCTGTTTTAGGTCTCTATAAAGAGGAAATCAAAGGTCTAAGGTATCTCATTCCAGACCAGATTAGGTCCCATTAATGTTAGAACAAATGAGGCCTCCAGGATGTTAAATTCCCGACTCAAAATGGTTGAAAGAAAGCTATTATTTGTAGAATCAGGGAAATTAAGAGAAGGACAAAGGCAGAGCAGAGTTGAAGGTGCGTGCATTTTAGATACAATTAAACACCTTTTCTTCTCTTAAGCAATTTTCTCTAAGAACAAGTTACATTGGCATAAAACACACAGTCTTCTCCACGCGGGAAAAATTATTACTTACAAAATATAAAGTTCCTTCAGTATTTGTGGTTTAAAGTTTACTTTGTATATTTAAGTAGGAAACTTACCTTTAAAATGGCGTTTTTGCCACACTTTGTTGAACAGGCAGGCATAACTAAGGGCACAGTTATAGATAAATAAATTGTAAATACACAAGCATAAACAGTGTTAAATGCTTTTAAAGCCAGAAAATTGGTACTTTATGTTGTATACAAAGTATGTCAGATTAAGGTTAACAGCACAAAGTTTGGTTAATTCACATGGTTATTCTCTTCCATTTTATTAATCTAAAGGAAGACTGCATAGACAACATTGCATCCAAAAATATACTGGGTGTTCCCCAATAGGCGTACCGCAATATTTTCCACATTAAATATGTCGTTAGAGTTTCAATCCCACTTATTGAAATTCACGACGTTCCCATAAGATAACAAAGTACACCATTATCTCTTCTTGGCCATCAGTATGCCTTGATTTATCATCAATTGGAGTTGGAGAATGAAAACTTACCGTTATTATTATCATACTTTCGAGATTTAAAAAAAATATGAATAATTAATGATAGAAGAGATCAACGTTGTTTTTTGCTAACGCTTATTGACCAACAAACTTTAAACAATTTCCGCTTTATTATATATACATATTATTATTTTTACGTTTTCCTCTTTTTACGAATTTTTTTCAATGTTTACGGCCGTTAACTTACAACTTTTTCCTGTTGAATAGGATTGTTTGTTTAACTTCTACGCGACTTATAGTTGCAATTTGAAAACCCGATCAGAAAGCCCATTGTTTTCTACTCGCAAATGTTTTTCTTATTTAAACTTCGCATTTTACGATGAAAAAATAATCCAGTCGTTCAGATTAATCTCAGGCATTTTTGAATAATAATTCAGGTATTTTTTCGCATTAATTCTTCTGTCCAACTTTTCCAATTAATTGGTACATATTTAGTAGCAGCAAAATGCACATATAATTTAAATGTTTTAGTTAAAAGATTAGAGTCGAGTCGAACAATTTTCAATGGCTTTGGAATTATGTATTAATATATTATAATTAATTACGGAATGATGAAACTATGAAGATTAATTCTTCATAGTTTTTGTCTTTTATTTTTAGAGATTTTCTTAAAATATGAATAACGACAGAAGAAATCAACTTTGCTTCTTGCTAACGCTATTGACAAGCAAACTTTAAAAAAATGTTTTGTGTTTTCCGCATTTTTGTTACGCGTTAACTCACAATTTTTTGTCACAATCCAGCGGTTCAGAATAAATTCGGGTATTTTTAAATCTTACTTAAATTAAAAAGATCAGTTTTCAGGACCTTATATAATAATATATTTTTCCCCAATTACACTTACCTAAATTGTTCTATTTATTGGTTTCTGTCATAATTCGACTTAATTCTTTAGTCCAATTTATTTGTCTACCTTTTCCCATTAAATGCTAAATATATTTAGGAGCAACAAAATGCGCATATAATTTAAAATGTATTAGTTACAATGTCACTCGAGTCGAACAATGGAAAAATTTCAATGGCTTTGGAATTATGATTAATTTTCATAACTTTTGTCTTTCATTTTTAGAGCTTGTCTTAAAAATATGAATAACGATGTAAGGTGTACTGTAATGTAAAAGCATAGCTACCAATGGTGCGTCCGGTATAAACAAAAGCTTCGACAAAGTACTAAAACTCAGATAATTTAATAAAGGAATTGTGTCTTTGTGTCCATATATTTTGCGCTAAATGGCTATGAGATACAGAAATGCAAACTTCTTTCACTAAATATATTTTATAGAATAACACTTGTACATCAGAACATCTTATTTATTGTTGATACGTTTTTCATGCGTTATGATAATACTGCTCTACAATAGACTAGTACCAGTTAGTAAAAAAACTAAAATAAAAAACATCAACTAGAATCAAAAAGGATAATAACACTAACACTAAAACTCCTTTAATAAACTATTAATATTATTCCAAGCGCACTGAAACATCGTTCTAGAATTGCAACCAAATTGCCTAAATTTGCAACTTAATAGCAATGATCCTATACACTTTATTGTAAATATATAACACATTATTATTTCTGGATTATTTCGATGAGACTGTTAATTTGAGTTACTCACTATTGGAGTCGTCATTGTTCGCTGTTAATCCCTCTTGCAGCTCCAGGATGTGCTTAATCGGCTGCGGTTTTCCATCAGAGCCCACTCTGCAGGGCTGAATAATCCCCGATTTCGACAACTCGTCAATACGCTGAGCAAGTTTGACCGCTTCATATTCCTTCTGCTCATCACTCATTCCAGCCATTGGATCAGGATGGGGCTTGTCCACGCACCCCAGCACAGGATTCAGCAAATGCCTCTGTTCGGTGTATTCTTCAGTCTCACTATCTTCACTTCCCGAACTGTAATCAGCTTCAGCTGCATCTTTCTTCCCGCCTAGAGACATAAAAACCTGCAGTTCACTTAGAGTGTTAATAAATCAGATCGTGCATACCCAGTAAGCCCTTCTGTGCCAACAGGCCGGCGGCATTTCCAAAACCCGTATATTTTATCATGCGATTAACGTTGCATTTGCACAACACAAACAGCAACTCGGCAGCCAAGTCTCTCAGCTGCGTTATAGGGCTGGTTAATAGTTTGCAAAGATGCCCTCTAATAGTGTCGGTCTCTTCAGGGCGTTTATCCATTTCGGTGAGTGGAGGCAAAATTTGCGTTCGGAGGTACTTGCGTATAGGTCTGCAGGAAATGGACAAACAGTTGGATTGCTGTGTTTTTTTAGATGAGAACGGAGTATAATCCGACGAATGAGAGCGTTGCAGTTGATTTTTACATCACATTTACGTTATTGTTACTATTATTTATGTTATCAGTTACAAAATATTCGCTTTCAAATAAAAAGCGATATTTTACTATTGCATTTTCTGGGCGTTTTATGAAAACGACCCAACTTGATTAGTGAAAAACAGTGCTTGAGGCGGGCTATCGAAAAGGAGCTGATTTGTATTAGTGATATATTAAACCGTTCTGGAAGTATTCGCTGTTATAAACTTCGAGGTCTCCTGAAAGCTGTATATTTTCACTCCTATGCCTTTAGAGATTAGGAACCTCGTTTAGTATTTGGCTCAAATTTAGAGAACCGGTTAAGCTGCAAAGTTCTAGTGCTCATTGCGAGATAGAGCCTTTAAAAACGCACATTTCTATATCAAACGAGAGCGGGTTTTAAAAACTGCTTTTAGTCTTTTAATAAATTTTAAGGGTCAGTTAAGATGCATAGTTCTAGTTTTCTTTGCGGTATAGAGCATTAAATTGTGCACGTTTTCGTATCAAAGATCATTTGAGAAATGTTTCTAGTTTTGATGCAAAATTAAAAAATTCAAAAATAAAGCGGGTTTAGTGTATTTTAGTTTTTGGCTCATATTTTAAGAATCGGACGAGCTCGAAAGTTCTAGTTGTCATTCAGCTATTTCTTCTAGTTGTTCTAGTTCTAGTTGTCTATTCATCAGCAGGATAGAGCCTTAAATCGCGCACGTTTTCACACCAAATATCATTAAGGAATCTCTCTAGTTTTCATGCAAAAAGCAAAAAATTAAAAATTAAGAGGGTTTTTAAAAACCGCTGTTAGTTTGGGCCCAAACTTTTACAGTCGGTTCACCTGAAAAGTTTTAGCTCTGATTGCGAGATAGAACCTTAAATTGCGCACGTTTTCATGCCAAATATAATTTAAGGAATGTTTCTAGTTTTCTAAAATTAAAAAATAAAGCGGGTTATAAAAACCGCTCTTTGTATTTGGGTATATTTTGACTCTGTCAAGCTGCAAAGTACTAGTTTTAATTGTTTTTGAGTTTCAGAGTTTTAAATTGCGCACTTTTTCACGTAAACATCATTTGAGGATTTTTCTAGTTTTCACGTAAAATACAAACATTCAAAACTACTGCGGGTTTTGACAGGCGCTCTTAGTTTGGACCCAAATTTGTACTGTCGATTAAACTGCAAATTTCTAGTCCTGATTGTGAGATAGAGCCTTAAATTGCGAGCGTTTTCATATCATTCAACACCTTCATCATGTAAGGAATATTTTTAGTTGTCAGGAAAAATACAAGAATTTAAAATGAAACCGGGACATAAAAACCGCTCTTTGTATTTGGCTCTTGAATTGCGCATTATTTCCATATAAACATAATTTCGGAATGCTTCTAGTTTTCGCGCAAAATGCGACAATTAAATTTTAAAGCGGGTTTTGAAAATCGCTTTTAGTATTTGGCGCATATTTTAAGAGTCGGTTGAGCTGAATAGAGCCTTTAAAAGGGCTCCTTTTTATGCGAAATATCACGTCAGAGATGTTTCTAGTTTTCACGCAAAATGCCACAATTCAATAATAAAGCCGGTTTTGCAAAGCGTTCTGAGTATGAACTTCATTTTTGAGAACCGGGCAAGCTCCAAAACTGTAGTTTTCATAGCGGGATAGAGCCTTAATAAGCAGTTTACTCCGCCTACACCAAACATCATTTAAGGAATGTTTCTGGTGTTCACTGAAAATGCAAAAAATTAAAATCTGGATCCTAAGAACTGCTTTTAGTCTTTGGCGCATATTTAGAGAACCCGTTGTTATTAGATGATCTAGTTTTAGTTGCAGAATAGACACTTAAATTGGGCACTTTTCTATACTGCACATCATTTAACGCATGTAAACCGAAGAACATTTTAAGAGTCGGTTGAAATGCAATGCTTCAGTTTTCACTGCAGGATTGAACTTTAAATTGCGTACGTTTTCATACCAAACATCATTTAAGGATTGTTTCTACTTTTCACGTAAAATGCGATGATTGAAAAATTCTCTGCGCTTAAAAACCGTAAAAAACAACAAAGTAAGTCACCTGTGAGTTGTTACTCCCTTGAGCAAAACACTGAGCACTGGAGCAAACTGTTCCAATTGATTCGTGACTGGCAGTTTCTCCATGAAATGCGCTTCCAAAAACATCAGTATCTCGTGTATAATGATCATGTTATGGCTTTCAAACTGTAGACTTTTGGGAAGCGACGTTGATTGTGCCACGGGAGTGATGAGGTTTCTGTAACATTTGGCGGGAATGTTTACCAGCATATTAATACAACTTCTCCTCAGCTGCCAGGTTTTATCCAGACTGGCCGTAGATGCCACCAGGTAGCTTCGCAAAATGTCGACTAGCTCTCGATATTGTTTTACTTTCTCATCTCTCCCGGACGATGTTAATGTGATGCTGAAGAGCGCTTTTAAGCTTTCGCAAGCGATGTCGGCCTTTCGGTTGTCGAGAACGACAGGCAAAGAAGATGATGGACCACTTTCAGATGCTTCTTTAAGAACCACTTTCAGCACGGTAATCAGGAGCGGTAAGCCGTTGGATTCTTCGACTACGCGCCTGACATCCGTGGAACTGGTGGTCAGATAGAAAATGAACTGTGCATCATAATACTTGATAGCATCAGGAATGCGAACTTTGTCGTACAAACTGAAATTATAGCATTAGCTTTATAGGGCTAATCTTTGCTCTACGCTTTATGGAAACCTCATTCGATCCAAGAGTTTATCCAAGAGGCCATTGTTCGGTGATTCGTTCACTAGCTTCTTGCTATTAAACAGAACATTCCACACGACTTTTTGCCCTTCTTCAATTTTACATAAGGTGTCGTCTGAGTATTCAAACGTTTGACTATTTAGCCCTAAACAGTAATAAGTAATAAAAAACTTGGTTATACGACTATACTCATTCAGGGTATGGATGCCTTTAGATCTTTTTGTAAATAGGTACGATACTTTTTCGGAATTATTTTTTACGTACAGAGTATAGAGCGACTTTAACTCACGCGAAAGCTAATGGGTATTTAGAGTATAATTTTTCTAACACATAGAGTTTTAAGCAGGTCACATTTTGAAATCAGTTTCTGTGGGGTGATTCAAAAAAGTTACATGTGAAACTTTTTTTTATGCGCCTTATCTTGGGTGTCCCGTAAGCTTTGATAATGTATCAAAAGAGCACTAAGACATTTTTTGGCTCAAATAAAAACCCTGTGACCTAACTTTTGTTAAAAAAAAATGTCCAGCTCCTCTACTATTGATGGTCAAAGTTATACATTTTTTTAACATCGGGAGAATTATGCGATGGATTTTAATGAAACCCGTTGTGAATTTGTTCCTATGTGAAGTCTCATGATTTGATGAAGCAACCGAGTTCCGCTTTGGGTAGGTGAGGAATTCTTGAAGAAAACTACCAGAACTTTTTATTTGTCCGCTGGAATCAACTGATTTTTGTTTGGTTGGGCTACAAGATTTTACGAAGAAGATAAAAATGTCAAAAGAGGATTAGTACATCAACTCCGTACTTTGGCTTTTCTTCTAAATTTATGCCACTAAATTGCGTCGAGTTTTTCGAGAAAAATCGAGGTTTTAGGGAATTTTACCGGTCTGGATCCGGACGGCAGTTTATTTTCTAGAGACAGATAGCAAACAGGGTTGCGGTTTTATCGCGTTAGTGCTATTTCCTTGTGCAGGTTTGTCGATTTTATTGAGCGGATTTCCATTTCGCTTTTTGCCGTTGTTAGAAAATAGTAGAACACTCATATGCTTGGTAACTCGTCGATCTATTTTAATATTTTCTTACAGCTTTGAACTGCTCATATCTCATTGCACCATTTAAGTATTTATTTAGCTAACTTACATTTTTTAGGTAAAACCGATCATTTTGCAAAATGCTTCTATTTACTAATTAGAACACTATCTAACAGCCTTGAACCGTTCATGTTCAGTACGTTGTGAATAATTCAAAGTAAATTCCTAAAGTGTGTTTAAATTAATTTAAAAAATAATATTATATTAGGTACCTACACTTCTGAAAAACTAAAAAAATGGTGCCAAATTTACAGTACTCCCTTTCCAAACTTGTAAATGAGGAGGGTAATAAAGGCAAACATACAAACAAATCGACAAGTTCCATGCAGAAAAAAACCTAAAGTGGGGTTTTTCATTCCTTGTTGTTTCCTACAAACATCTCATTCAAGGAACCCACACCATGAATAACACTACATAACTAACTACTCACCTATATGAGAGATCATTAAATCCATCCATTCGGGAGTCGCAAGTTTACTGACCGACTGTTTATCGCGGCTTAGAATTCGAAATACTGTAAAAACTACCACCAGAAGATTATTATCATCAGTTTTAGCAGCCAAATTTGTCAGCGCTTTCCATAGCTGCTCCCGTTTTTGCGCATCTAAAACGCAAACAAAGAACGTGAGCTTTTAAATTCGACCCCATCAAACCAACCTTGTGTAGCACCTTGTGTTTCACATATATCAAACGTCTTGTGCTCTTTGACCACGAAATTTATCAAAGCCTGCTCGTAGATCTCCTTTTCATCTTTCGCAATTCCTGATATAATATTGTCAATATTAGTGGCTGTGGGCACAGTGAGGTCTGGCTCGTATTGATCAAGCTGACGAAGCATCGCTACTGTAAAAAAATCAACATATTTCTCATCAAATCAAATATCAGTAGACAATGTAGACATGTTCACTTATCTAGATTAAAACGAAACCTTGCTAGTGGTGGTAACAAACATTATATTATTTACACCTACGACAGCAATTATTTAGGTATAATCAACTAGAGATTGAGTATTATTATTAAGAATAAGGAATCACAACTTGTTCAATTACATCACATTATTTAATTATTTCACATATGCATAGCTTTTCCCATCACAATCTAAATTTTTTTGGTAAGCAGAAGGAATAGTTAGTCAACGAATTTAAATTTCGCTTGGTCAATACCGGACATTTCTAAAGTGTGTTCAAACAAAACCAGACATATTCCTTAATTTTTAAAAGGTTTTCTCGTTACTTCAGGTAAACAATTTTTTTTGTTTATTTTCTATTTAAATACAAAATAAAATTTGCACAGGCAAAATTGTTCAGCAATTTGGCTGCAAAATTTATTAGATCTAAGTGTTTTTTTATTGTGAGTTTAAATAGAATTCAATTTTAGTCTTCGTTTCAATGGGTTCTTAAATTTCTGCTGCGTAAACCGTCCCATTGAAATACACAGCTGATTATATGAAGAGCCATCCAGAATTTAACTGAGTAAAATTCAGATTTTTCGAAGATCTATTAGATTACCTAAACCAGCTTTTGTTCTTAGAGCAGATTCTACAAAATTACTTGCAATTGAGTTGGACTTTAAGGCTTGCGTTGCCTTTTGCATTAAAATAAGTTAATAAATCATAAACCAGCAAAGTTGAATGAATGAGGGAAACGCAACTAGTTGCAAAATTGATTTGATCCAAAAGTGTTTTTGCGGTGGTTTTATACATAATTTTAGTTAGTTTTAATGGGACCGCTTATACCACTTACATTTTAAGAGCCGAACCATTATTTAATTAAATTCTGTATAAACCCACTATTTGGTGTCCAGAAGACGCCCACACCTAAGTCCCTAACTAGAAGCACCCTCCTGGATTTAACTGAGCAAAATTCAGCATGTTCATCTTAGACTATTAACTATTCGAGCTTTTGTTCTTACAGTTGAACAGTTCTTTGGTGCTTTTGAAGTCAAGTTAGGGCTAATAAGCAATTGCGTGCAAAACTTCTAAAGTGGTTTCTATAAAATTACCTGAAGTTGAGTCAATTGGACTTGTAAGACTTGAATTACCTTGCTTTGCCATACAACCAGAAACCCCTGATATGGGCGGACGAAGCAATTACTACTATGTGAAGCAACTAATGAAGAATTAAATAAAGCGTAAACATTTACATGAGTAAATTAAAAGTTTATTTATTTAGGTCTTGCCATTTTTGACACGTGTGTCACTTTACCGGCTACAGGTTTCCACTTTATCGTGTGGGTTTAAAATGTTTAAAAATCGCCCCACAGAACACCTCTGAACATGATTCAAAGGGAGATTTGGTATGTTGCATTTTAATATCATGTGTATGAGTGAGAGAGCAATAAGTCGTGAGTTAGTTAGTTAGCAATGTTTTTAACTATTTTGACTTATAATTAGATGTGTGGCTGGGAAAATGTATTTATATTTTAAGGGCCGCCTATACATATTTTGCTTCTATGGTTTTGTAGTTGACAAGTTTTTCCGCAGATTGTTGATTTACTTTTTCTTCACTGAACCAGCAACCTCCAAGAAAGACAGCAGGACAATATGCGGAGTGGTTTACAGATTTTATTAATCCAATATTGGTTCAAAGCAGATAAGGATTTAAATAAAGCGTTTCTGAAAATCTTGCCCGGTTTTGTGGTTCAGCATTTGAATCGCCCGCCTCGAGTTAAACGTCAAGTCGATTTGAAAGCGCCCTCTAATCAGGCTAATATGTCAAAAAGCGTAAAACAAGGCTCGTTTGGCTTCCGTAGATCTTTTCAAATTTAGAAAGTAGGTGTTCGCCCCATTTGCAATCAGCTTTCGGACCTCTCAATTCCCCGGGGAGCCCCCAGTTTTGTTAGGTGTTTAAAGCAGTTAATAAAATCACGTAAAAACGACGATATCCGCTATCTCCACTGGACTCCAGTCTACAATGGCAGCCAGCGACTCTGCGGGTGACGACTCTTTGTATCCCATTGCAGTATTGATAGATGAATTGAAAAATGAAGATGTTCAGGTAATTGGCTTAATACTGTTTGTTTGACTACGAAATCCGTTGCAGTTCTGTCATCGCTTCGCCCTGACCACTCACCATTTGTCATTACTGATATTAGTCATTTTTCTAAATGTGTGCTTAATGTAACAACAAACATATACAAAATTGTACAAATTGCCTTGTAACCCGTTCGGCAACTGCTCATTCTAATGGGTCTATTAGCGGGTAACGCTATTCGGCATCGCTGGGTTCATCCACCTTCAATTGAACATTCATAACCCCTCAACTTTTGTAGTTTAACGTATAATGGATTGCATGAATACATACTTGTTTTTTGCATATTAAACTAACAAATATTACAGTTTGAGGTTTGGATAAAATGTAAAACTTTGCTAGTCTTGACTACTTTGTATAACTCTAAATACCTTTTTACCTAGAATCGAATTTGTGAGCCCTAAAGGGCAATGCTCTATATTTTGATTGTTGCCCTGCATTTGTGGTATAATACTTGATGACGGGTTTATTACGGTTTTCAAGCGGATAAATTGCTATAAGTCGGTTTTGCTCCAATGTTAATATTAACACCTCAAAATAATAATGTTGAAATTTGAACGTAGGTTTTTTCAAATTTTTTATTGCTAAATTTTCCCGCATTTACCGGTCTTAGTCCCATTTACGGTTTTTCATATTCCAAACTGGCATTTTATAATAATCTACTAATGCTTTAAGGGCGTAAGGTAAAGAAGGAATTTCTATTAAAATCGTGATTCAACCGTTTTCTATGGAAATAATCTTCGAGACGTACTCAATAATTGTGCATGTTTCAAACAAAACTGGTAAAAATACTTTATTAGCATACATTAGTGACTAATTTTTGGTTAAAACATAACATACATACAAAACTAGAAATGATAACCGCGTAATATACTACTACTGTGGTTAATAAAGAGTTTATGCTAAATTTGTATAATCGGCAAAGGATAATATTACTTTTTTCTCGAATACTATTAAGGATTTGAAAAACTGAGTTGTTGAGAGTAATCGAATTGTATTCATAACTCTTAAATAATAATTTTTAAATTTTATTTATTGATCGAAATAAAAATAATCCTATTTTTTCATTGAAACAAAGCGACCAAACACGCAAAATCCCAAAACAAAGTTTAATATAAATCGTATTTCCTATAGACTGAAATGAAAATCTCCCAACCGCATGGTTCTAATTGCACAACGTATTTTTTTAGTTGTTTTTTCAATGCTTTCGATTGACCTATTTGTATTAATCCTAAGACATTAAAGAGCTTTAGCTCATGTAATGGCGTTAATAACTTTTTTGTTGTTTATCCGATTATTTTAAAATTTGGTAAGTTAAATTATTTACAATTATCTTAGAGAGGAAAAATTACATTTCAGGCACATACGAAGATGAAAGTTACTGGTTGATAAAACTGAGTGAATATAAACCATGTTTTTATTTTCGCGTTGTCTGACTGGGACCCGTTCTTATACCTACCACATATATTTTTTTTGTTTTTCTTTTATAACAAAGATATATTTTGGTGCGAATACAAAATCTGCCAAAGGTATATTAAAGAAACACATACACAACTTGTAAGAATTCCTGGGTATTCTGACTTACATTTTTCAATAATTATTCACAATTCTACCATTTTTACTGTATCTAATCACTGGTTAGTTCATTAGTTATTATTTTGTTCCTATTTAGAAGATGTTTTCAAAATATTAAAAATTTCACCTAATTTGTGTCAAATTAGATGTACAAATTGGTCCAGTTGCATTTGAATTTGCATTGGTCCAAATACATACATCATTTAATACATCGAACAGTTTGAAATTATCTCGAATATCGTATATTTCTTCGCCTAATTGTTATTTTTTGCTTTGGATTAGTACGATTTTTAGTAACTTAACATAACTATATTCTTTGTAAATTTTGCTGTTATCACTTTATCGGCTGCTTTCTTATATTATTATGCTTTCTGTATTGTAAGTTTCTATTCTTGTTTCATCCACTTCTGCAAGTCACACGCTCTCTAACAGTATTTTAGTTACTTGACTTTTTATATGAATTATTTTTGAAGTAGTTAGATAGATAGATAATTCTTAAGTGGCATACATTTTCGTTACTAGGTGTAAACGCTGATTAATTTAATATTTTAATTCGTATGACACATTTCGCTGTAGTTCAGCAGTGGTCGACTTTAAAAAGGCGTAGTTAAAAGGTTAAATTGAGAAACCATTCTATAACTATGTAAAACCCGAATTATGAGACAATAAAAGCGAAGTTTACGGAGCTCCAGTAAAAAAGCATAATGCTTTTAGTGAAATCGCAGAAAACGTTCATTCCACTTTATAAAAAATTAAGTACAAGGAAAATGCATCATAATCTTAGAATTCAGTTTAATAGCGAGTCGAATAAATCTACGGGGCGGGCAAGATTAGTTGTTTTAAAGGGTTTTTTTTAGAGAAGAAAAGTGGCACTTTTTATTTTTCCTTTATTGATTTGTTTATGAGATATCCGGTAAATAAGCTGATTTCAACTTTCTTCTTTAGCTTCTTTATTACTGAAAATATTTAAAAAATGAACATTAATATATGATCATTTGTAGAGTATGTCACATAATTTATACGGGGTTTTTCAAAAAAGTTACAAGAAGAAACTTGAATTTTGTGAACTGTAACTCTGTATATTTTGATACCATTACGCTACCAGTGCAGCCTTATACATACATTTTTTAGTAGTTCTTGAAATAATACGATATATTTGCTACTAAGTTTCACGTTTAACTTGTTTTTCACTTTTAAATCGCTTACTTCAATTCTAAGGTTTAGTTATTTTTCTCTTTTTAGCTACGGGATAATTTTAAATAAAAAATTCCCACATCTATAATTATTTCAAGAACGTCTATTAAAATATTTATGTGTCATATGTGATTAAATTCGAGAAGAATATGGCTATTAAATGGTAGAAAAATATACCATAACATTGCATTCCATAACACAAGTTTATTTTGTAACTTTTTTGAGACGTTCCGTGCTATTTGTTTAGTTGCAGATGTTTATCTATTAAAAATGTATTTACTTTATAAATATTTATAGTAATAATGCTATTTCCAATTTATCTGTATCATCCTGTAAAATATCCTCATAAAAACATTAACGAAGGAAAAATTAACACTCATAACGGTTTCTTAATGAAGTGTTCATTGACAAGGGTTTGCGAATTAACCCATAAAAACGGCCAATTTTGCTCACCCTATACAAAGAATATACAAGAAAAACAATTTAAAATAATCATGAATCTTGATAGGTATTTTTTAATAAGAAATCATGTTAAAGTAAGCTGATGCTATGAACCCCAATGTTATGGATGGTTAGCCGTGTACAAATGGCTGTTCCGTGTTTTATATTTCGTTTTAATACAAAGGGTATTTTATGGCCAATTTTTTAAATTACTTTTTTTTACGGACGAAATGATAGAAATGGATTGGATTTTTAATAATTCAATCACACATTAGTCTGTTCAAATATGCGTCATCGGTTTCTCGTCTCACCAACCATTTAGACGGTTTTCTCGTCTTCCTCACCCTTTCTGCCATTGCCACCATGGCTGCGAATTTTTTGGAGATAATTATATCGAACTGTCGAATAAACGTTAAAGGTTGAAATTTGTGGCTGAGTTGAGAGAAGTGTACAATTAATGATATAAATATACATGGGAGATATAAACGGATCAGATACTTTTAACAATATATTTCTGTCAGAACACGAAGGTATCAAGTTATTTAGTTCTTCTTGATGGAAAACTCATGTTATTGTTGTTAGATGCAAACAAGCAAAGTAATTTTATATGCGACAGTAGATACGTATGTCCGGCATCAAATCGTGTTTCTATTTTTCTTTTATATTCAGCAATAAGAAAAAAAATCAAATACATTTTATATATTTAAGCATTTTAGAATTGCAAACTTTAATGGTAGCATTTGCTCTACTCTAGGCAAGTCTTTACCTGCGTCGATCAATCAATCGATTACATCTTTCTGTGCAAAGTTGTTTCCACTTTGCAAGGGTGTTTGCTTTTAAATGCCAAAGGATTGTGTATACATTCACGAGCGAGATTTGTCTGTATTGTAAAAAATGTCGCTTTTTCTACCATTTTAACCACGCTTGATACAATCCTACATATACTTAATGCGATTTCAGTTACGTCTGAATTCAATTAAAAAGCTATCAACCATCGCACTGGCTTTGGGATTGGAACGAACCAGAATAGAGTTGATTCCCTTTTTAACTGAAACTATATACGATGAAGACGAAGTGTTACTGGCGCTTGCAGAGCAACTGGGACAGTTTATTCCGTTGGTTGGAGGGCCTGAATACGCTTACTGTTTGCTGCCGCCCTTGGAAAGCCTGGCTACAGTTGAAGAAACCGTAAGATTAATGCTGAGTTTCTAGAATTTCGCTTGTAAATTTCACTTTATTTAGGTGGTGCGTGACAAAGCCGTTGAATCATTAAGAGCAGTGGCCCAACAGCACAGTCCCGCGGATTTGGAGACTCATTTTGTGCCATTAGTTGAAAGATTGAGCTCTGGGGATTGGTTCACATCTCGCACATCTGGATGTGGCCTTTTTGCTGTAAGACATATAATATAATCGTTTTGACGGTTTATTGTAAACAATCGTTTTTTTTTAGGCGTGTTATCCTCGAGTTTCAGCCCACGTTAAAACGGACCTAAGGGCTCATTTCAAGGCGCTGTGTCAAGACGACACTCCAATGGTGCGCCGCGCTGCCGCCACAAAATTGGGCGAATTTGCACAAGTACTTGAGTTAGAATACTTGAAATCTGATTTGATTCCCATGTTTGTGAATCTGGCTCAGGATGAACAGGTATGGGTATGGACGCACCGGTATGGAGGTTTATAGTAACTTTCGACTTGCTTTAGGACTCTGTTCGGCTACTGGCTGTCGAAGCCAGTGTAACCATTGCTACTTTACTATCGCAGGAAGACGCCGAGCAGCTAGTGATGCCCACTTTAAGACAATGCACCAGTAAGTGAATATCAGAATGAATCGATTTGAATGGATGTTTTTAATTGGGATTGAGTAAAGTTCATTCGAACCATAATTCGCATTTTTTTAATTTTTGGAGCTAATTAAGTTTTCGAATTAACTTTTCTCAAAAACATCCCACATTAGCAAAAAAAACACAATTAACAAAATTTCCGATGTGATAAATATAACAAGTTGCCTTTTATTCAATCTCATTTAAAAGTATCCTCAGCATTTTCAAACCTTTTTTGAATTTCTTATATACATCTACTGTGCTCATTCTGTACATTTAATTCCAGGTGACACATCTTGGAGAGTACGATACATGGTTGCAGACAAATTTACTGAGCTCCAAAAGGCCGTCGGTCCAGAAATCACCAGGACCGATTTGGTGCCGGCTTTCCAAAGTTTGCTGAAGGACACCGAAGCCGAAGTTAGAGCCGCTGCGTCAAATAAAGTGAAGGATTTCTGCCAAAATTTGGACAAAGCTCATCAAGAGAACATCATCATGACAAACATTTTGCCGTGTGTGAAAGAGCTGGTAAGTTTGCGGTGACTGTGCGGATTCATCAATATTTGAGCATCGATTTGTTGCAGGTTGCAGACCCAAATCAGCACGTAAAATCGGCTTTAGCGTCCGTCATCATGGGCTTAAGCCCGATCTTGGGACGTCACATCACTATCGAGCAGTTGTTACCTTTGTTCTTAACACAGTTGAAAGATGAATGTCCTGAAGTGCGATTAAATATTATTTCAAATTTGGATTGCGTAAATGAGGTATGTTGCGAAACATTTTCTAATCAATTTTTAAGAAAATTGCATGAATATCTGGGGTTATTTGGTGAGTCGATGCATTCCTTGATAAGGATTAAAGTGATCATTAACGAAAATCAAACGTATATATACACTGTGCCCAAGATAACAAGGAAGAATATGCGGATATCGGCAAACACCAAGAATAAGACGCTGAAAAAATGTAAAAAAGTTACACAATTAATAAACTAGTAAAATTACGCTTTAAAACTTTTGTTCCTAATTTTTTTTTCGGTGGGCGCTAGTCACTGCAAGATTTGTTAACGCTTTCGGTCATATTATCTCAAGCGGGTTTTCTTTGGAATTTTATCATTTTATCCTCTACTAATATCGAAATTAAAGCGGTGTCGAAAAGACACAATCTGCACTAATTTTTTGCGCGTTCTTCCCAAGTAAAAGAAAACAAACAAAACAGAACAATACGAAACATATTTTATCTATCTAACGTGTCTAAGCCGTGTAGAATAGACAGGGTGTCTCACGGTCAGCGTATATATTTTGCTGCTATTATTATTTTGGTTTTGTTTCTATCTAGAGTTGACTTTTTTATGGTGGTACTACTTGCGCGATAAAACATCGTTGAAATTAGAAAGAAAACATCTTTCCGTTGTCCAATTCTAATGACAACAGTTCTTAGAAAAACGTATTTCATGTTTTTTTTTGTGGGAAAAAGTGCTTGTAATAACCTTCTTGAAAGAATGCTTTGACTTACCAAACACCCTGTACATTTACATGTTGAGAAGTTTTAACTTTTGAAATACTAAATTACTGTTTTGCAGCAAATTTTCTTTTTTTGTTACTTTTTCCACAAGTATATGGCTTAAGTTCCTTGATAACAATATCATTGAAGGTTTTAATAAAATTGTGTTTTTATCATTACGCCAAAAGTCAATAATTTATATTTTGGTTTATAGTTCAGGCTACTCTTTTATTTGTTGAACTTTATTTTATTTTTTTAGGTAATTGGTATTCAGCAGCTGTCGCAGTCATTACTGCCGGCCATTGTAGAATTAGCCGAAGATTCCAAATGGAGAGTGAGATCGGCGATCATCGAGTATATGCCATTGTTGGCAGGACAACTGGGTAAGGGTTTCGCTAAACTAACCCGAATGGCGTATTCATCGCATTTATTTAGGACGAGAATTCTTTGACGAAAAATTGAACGCCCTTTGCATGACCTGGCTTATGGATCACGTCTTTGCTATTCGTGAGGCCGCCACATTGAATCTGCGAAAATTGGTCGACCAATTTGGAGCCGAATGGGCAGAATCTACAATTATTCCAAAAGTTTTAGCCATGTCCCGGGACCAGAATTATTTGTATAGGTAAGCAAAACATGTCGAAATTGTAGTGTAAGCACAAGTGTTTTTAATCCGGTAGCAATGCTTAACTTCGATTAAGGTGCTTTCTAGTAACAGCGAAATTCGAACGCTTCAACTCGTGATTTTTTCGAACTTCCTGGCGTTTCGCAAGCACGAGGTGGTTTGCTCGACGCAGAACCACTTTGAAGATGCAAGCTACTCGTGCTTGCGAAACGTCAATAAGAAGTTCTTCTCCACGATGGCATAAAACGCCCCAAAACTTTACACTTTCAAGCACTTGAAAGGCTTAATCTTTTAATACAAATCTTTAACTTTGGTTATAGCGAAAAGTTGACAAACTGGTTGAAAATGTTTGTCGGCAATAAAGATGAAACGAGCATACAACTTTAATTGCAATGAGTGAAAACATTAATTGCTTTGATATTAAGTTTAATGCGAAAACCGCGGCATATTTATCTTCATTGGAAAGATGTAGAAAAGCTTTTGCAAATCGAAATTGAAAATATATGGGTTGGACCAAATTTTTCATCACTAAACATATAATAAATATTTTTCTATTGATAAAAAATACTAGTAGGGAAACCACTAAAGATACTAGAAATAGTAAAAGGAACATTGTTACTGATTTAATTGAATTAAATTTTGTTTTCAGAATGACTTGCTTGTTCTGCATCAACGTTTTAGCTGAAGCTTGTGGTAGTGACATTACAACAAGACTGTTACTCCCAACCGTTTTGAGCATGGCAACCGACAAAGTGGCAAACGTGCGCTTTAATGTTGCGAAAACCCTCCAGAAAATCGCACCCCAACTTGATCAAGCCGTTATACAACCCCAGGTATGTACTGCATAGTACATCTTGTTCTTCAGTTATTGATGTGATTTTTTCTGTTAGGTCAAACCAGTATTAGATAAGCTGAATCAAGACGGCGACGTAGATGTGAAATATTCTGCTTGTGAAGCAATTTCCGGCATTGCTGGTAAGTGTAAGAACGAGTTAGAGAAGCAACCATAAAACTTTTCAAAATTTTGTAAAATGGTAAGTGATTAAAACATTTGTAAAGATTGCGTTATTGTTGTTTTGTTTGTAAACCGGCATTTCTGTTTTTTGAATTGGCTCATGCGGCAATTAATTATCTTCATGGAGACAAGTCGTTAAATTAGTACATTCAAGGAGTACCACTAACTATTGACTTTGTTTCTAGCTTTGGGTTGAAAATGTGTGCGGTGACTCAAGACATTATATACTGTAAGTAAGGAGGAATAAATGAGCTGAACACTACTCTTAAAAAATATTAACCCTCTAGAGTTTGGTAATTGTTACACCCTTCTATAATTTATTTAAAAGTGCAAACATCAGTGTATAAAACGATGGGTATAGACATTAGCATTAAAACATTACTGTCCAATTCATTTCTATTTGTTATTGAAAACTCAACCGTAAGAATCTTAATTCTCGAATGTGTTTTTCTTGTTGGCTAAATCATCCCAAGCATTTATTTTTAATTTTGTAAATATTTGAAAATGTAATGTTTAATAGTGCAAATAAATTTGAATATCTTATCGATGCTGTTTTGACGTTAATAGCACATGTTATAGTTATTATTTATTATTCTTAAATTCATTAGTATAAGTGATGTAAATTTATGGAGATTTCTTAAAAGTTTTCAACGAGCTTTTATGTTGTCTTCGGTTCCTCCTCATGCGCTTTGTCTTCTTTTTTATGTGTTTTCTTTTTGAGCCTTTCAACAATTCCTGTGGTTTTCGAACTAGTCGTATACTCTGAATGACCGGACTTCTTTGGAGTGGCCTCTTCTTTAGCCTTCAGCCTTTCTTTGCGCTTCTGTTCGATGATTCTTTGTTCGAGTATTTCATTAGTAATTCCCTGCAATTGAGGCAATTTTACTGTGGATTGAGTAACATTAGTTCTGCAACTGTAACCATAATTTCCGTCAAAGTCTTTCCACGTGCATAACCGCAATCGCCTCTCCCAAAGACCCAGCCTGGAGATGTGCCTTCAGGATCGTAAAGTAAAATCGCATTTCTGGAAGATGTATATAAAATCCTTGAGGCCAATATTATGATAATCTAGAAACGTTATCATAACAGCGTAAGTTTTGCGAATTAAGACCTTACGAACATGTAAGAAGACTATTGCGCTGATTATCATTATGAACCCATCAATCACCCATCCGATCGGGGCTTTCATTTTTTCTACGCATCCTTTGGTGTTAAGAGAATCGGACACCGTATTTGGCTCGTCCACCCAAATATTCGTAAACCCGACTTGTTGCAGGGGATCGTGCAGGCATTGCAACGGAAAATCCACTTTGCAACAAGACCACGGAACTATGGGCATTGTAAGCTTGGATTGGTCGAATCGTAGCCTGTAAGTTAGGAGAATTTTCATTTTCAGGCCAGTGAAAAAATGCAAAAATTACTCTTCCACTAAGGGAGATTTGGCGTTTATTATTGTTCCATCAATCCACTCCACTTCATACCAGTCCTTGTAAGACTCAAACCCGCAACATTCCAGCTCATACTGTATCCTATCGATAGTTTCCTTTGATTCAAAATCGCTCAGGTAAGTCTTCATTCCACCTTGTATAGAATTTTTCATTGATTTGATTATGTGTTTGTTGGCTTTTCGAGACATATTTGCAATAATTAGGAGTGTTATGACTGCATTGGTGCCTGCACAGTACCATACCAAAAGCAGACTCTTCGTGCTTTTTCTAAAACAAGCACGTTTTACCCAGTGGTTTTTAGTAAAGATTGCAAACATACTTGTGTGCTTGATTGACGCACTTCTGGCAAATTTTCAGCCCTATCAGCCAGTTGATAATCACGTTTCCCCCAAATATCGCGTAAACCACAAAAACAAAGTTAATTTCAGTTTTTTCGGAGATGATCATGGGGGAAATGGCCAGGCAAACGTAGATGGAGATTCCGGTTATTGTGGCCCCTAGCAGTACTTCCAGAACGTTTAGAACTGAAAAGTATAATGTTTGTACAATTTTTAAACACCATGGTTTGAGATTAGTTACCAAAAAATATCCCTGTTAGGGATTTTCTTTGGTTTTTGCTCAGTTTAAATAAACCTATCGCCATTTAACAAGCATGACTTTGAGGTCTTTAAATGTCTTGGATGACTTTGCAGTATTAAAAGTTGAATGTGTCGCCTTAATTAATTATAGGTGAGGGGCGCGTTATGAGAACCATATTTTTGCGGATTTTTCAAGCTACTTCTACAGTTTGTCCCAACGATAGAGTAGAGTAAGTTCACTTTTAAACGGTATTATTTGTTTAAAAATTCTCATCGTCATATCGTAAATGCACTAAACGCGTATACAGTTGAGTCCGGATATAACGAACTTGAAAAATGAACTAAAACTGGTTCGTTATATCCGGAGTATAATAATAATACAAAAACACGTGGTGGATTTTATTTCGTTATTTTTACATAGAGTAGTAGAAGTTAGTAGGTATGACTAAAAAGATAAACAAAATTCAATTTGAAATCTACTTCATAAAGTCTGCAATTTTTGTTTGTACATTTCTACTGCAAAATAGATGTTATTTATGTAGTTTTCAAGATCACAAAAGGACTCCCAGATATGATTAGAAACTTGGCGTGATTGTAGAAGATTCCGAGTTTCTGACACTTTTTTGTCATTTCAGAAATGGTTGGAACAGCATTAGTGTCTACAGTAGAATACGTTTCACCTAAATCGTCATCTTTCTCATTATCGCTTAAAGCTGTAGATGAGGTTACGGAGTCTATAATTTGCTCATCGGTCAACATTTCACTTGTAAGAATACCATTATCAATGCTCATATATTCGAAGAAATTGAAATAATTCAATTTGGTTTTAACTTGTTCTTCGACAACATTGGGACATCTTCGTCTGTGTCATACTCGTAGTCAGAGTCTTTATACTTTTCTAACCATTCGTTA